ACTCTGTATTCAACAGCAGTAGACCATTAAAGCCCTTAATACTTTTATGCTTGCATTGTTCACTAGTCTGGTAAAACACTTTAGTGCTGCTCTAGCTGATGAGGGATCAAAATTAAATAATTCATAGAAAGCTTACTCTTAGTCAATGGTAGAAAGGAAGAATGCCACTTGAGGTATTCACTGACTACATCTGAGCAGCATCCTCTTTGGAAACTGTTTGTTACAATACTCGTTTTTTTTAAATTGGTGCTGAAGCTAAGTATACTGTTCTGCCAGTTGGTGATTAGAGTTCAGTTGCTGCTGAGTAGATAGGCTGGTAATCTAAACACAGACGTGTTACAAAAGGTATAAATACTCCAGGGTATTTCAGGGGTACCCACAGTTCTAGGCAGGCTCTTTTTCAAGGGGAGTTTCTCCTCAGAAGTCTAACAGTACATGCTAGAAAGAAAAATTAATTTCTAGACCTTCGTACGAATAAAGAAGTACACAGAATTTTGATTAAGGAAATGAGTTAGTCGTTTCATCTGAGACAGGAGTTACATTTATTCTGTCCTAGAATAAGAACCTTAGGAAGTAGACTTCTCAGACTTGATTCACCAAAACTGGAAATGCTTGTAGACAGCAGAAACAGTAAACTTCAAAGTTCTGGGATTCAATAAGGACGAATAACCTATGCAATTGAACACAGTATTAAGAGAGTTGGAAAAAAACCAGTTCTTCCAGTCATTCAGAAAATGTTGACAAAGATTTTTGTTTCACTCACACAAAGCCTGGAAGTCCACTTAATAAAAAGTACTGCCTTCATTTCAGAACTGACATGCATTTATCCACCTAACTGATCACTACATGCATGCAAATCAGAATTTCAAAGTGAGACAGTTCAATGTTTGTGCCTAATTACTGAAAGTGCATTTAGTAAGTCTTCTCTTCACCTGTCTTGTTGAAGTGACACGCCTACAATCAGATTACAGAGTACTTGATGTAAAGCACTATATATCTGAATTGGTAAAGAAATCTCTCAAACTTAGTATCAAAATATTGTCATTCTAGTAAAGATGTTTTTAAACATGTAATAATAAATTCTCTGCTGTATAGAGAATACATTCTTTCGTCCCTTTCCATCTGAAAAAACAAGTTTTCACCTTTCCCCACCCCCCCAAAACCTATTAAAAAATATTCTCAAGAACTATGTAAAGAATTTTGTACTTAAACAATAAAGAAGGGAAAAAAGGTAAAGTGCACACTTTCTAAAGATATGATACAGTTCAATACAGTTATACAAAAGGAAAAGATTTTGCTGAGGTGTTGAACAAAAGTGAACACTTCTAGGAAAACACTTAGGAAAACCCAAGAGATTTATGATTATTCATCTGAAAGCATATCCAATCATTCTTACTCTATTGTCACCTGTTTACAAAAGGTGAAAAGTAGTCCATGTTTAGGTGTCAAAAACAACTGGACCAAAACCAAAGAAACTAAAAAAAAACATGCTACTGCTACAAGTGCTTCTCTATTAGCAAAGAAATTATACCTAGCATATTCATGTTACTTTTGAAAATTGGATTGATGGGTAGTTTTTCCTGTGAGACCTTTTCTCTCAGCCCAATCACTGAAAACTAACATGCTAAGCAGGAAATTCACAATTCCAAATGATCCCATTTAATCTTGCCAGTTCAGCAGCAATTCATTCCAAATTCAGTAGCGTATGGTTTGCACGTGTAAAGTAGCAGTGATTCCACACATCTATCCAGAGTAGTTGGCAACTAGCTGCCCCTACATTCCAACCTCCAAAAAAAAGTTAGTGCTATGATGTTGCTCCTACAATTCTTAACTTGTTATTTTAGCATGAAAATACTCAATTTACTTTTAATATGGATAAGAGACTCCCTACAGAACTCAACTAAACTTTTATCCAAATACTCCCCAGGACTCAGAAATATAGACATGCATATTGTAATGGTTTAGTTTTACTTGGAACTCATTTCAGCATTTCCTAAGATACTTCTATCCATTATAGCATGGTAACTTTCTAACATTTCAGAAGTGAAATACATGTTTTGGAAAAATCCCCACCCAACCTACCTCCAAAACAAACCCACAGAATACAACCCCCTCCCCAAACAAAAAAAAAAACCAAAACCAAGAAACCCACAACCCATCATCAAATCCACTAGAAGAAAAAAAGGCCAAAATATGTTTCAGCTTCATTACAGTTAGCCTTAAGATTTCCCCACATTCAAAAAGGAATTCCTCTACTAGAGATGCGACTTATACCAGTAAGAGTCAATCCTTCCCTTGATTTTCAACCAAAAGTATACCTATTAGTGTATCCATAAACAGAATAACTTAACCCGGTCAAAGAACTATCCCCCCTACCCCAGTCAAAGCCAGTGGTGGTTGTGGTGGCAGTGTCGTAATTTATATTAATTAGGGATGGGTTTTCACATTAAAACCAAATTTGAGCTTTGTCAGAAAAGCACAAAGCTGTGGTAATCTAAATTTCTTCACAGATTACACTTGTTCTGCACATATTATTTTATAACACTAAAAGAGAGGGAGATTTACACAGCTGTCTGACAATTTTGTCTCAATGAGAGACTGTAAGAGTTCAGGGAACACCACACTCTAGCTTGGGAAAGAAGTTGCTTTAAACTGATTTGGGGCCATCGGAAAAAGAAACACATGGAAAGCTTATTTAAAGTGACTTGTAGGGTTCATAGACTGATTAGTACAACTTTTTATATAATCATATCTATGCCACTACGGTAGAAAGCTTAACAGAGTCATTCAATAAATTAATCTACCTATTTCAGAACCATGGTAGTAAATTTAAAAGTTTTTATTAAGTTAAAATCTTGCACAATTTGCCAAGTAACAATAAAGGCTTTTCTGAATTGTTTTTCCACTGTGGTAAGTGTTTCTGAAGTCATAAAGCTAAGGTGTGGCAACTCTATTTTACAAATACAGACCTACTGCAAATAAAGAGAGATTCCTGTATAAAAGGAAGTTAGGCCATAGCAAACAGCATAGTAGTTTCTGTTCAAGCTTAATAAAGTAAATAACTGCACTGGAAAATATTCTGTTCTGGGCTTTCTGCCATACAGGAAGGGTGTTGAATATGTCAGTGTCCATAATTACTATCAACAGAAAAAAAAACAGAAAGCAACAGTTCAGCTCTTAATTCTTTCACATTATCACTTTCAAGAGTGAAGTACAATTTACATCTTCCTCTCCCTTGTATTCACTCTAACGTGTCTATACATTTTAAAGTTAGGCTACAGTTCTGAAGTTTGTGTTTCACTAACTATTAAGCACAATTTTAATTTTATTTTTTCCTTTCATCAGAATGAGTTACTTAATAAGCCACATATTTAATAGTCTTTTTTACGAATGGAAAGGGGAAGAGGTTTTAGCCTCCTTTTTAAAATGAAGAAATACTCCATTACCTTTTTTTCTCTAAGAATAAGAAAAAGATAAAAACCTTTCTTGGCTAGGAAAGGGAATGCTAACAAATGTCTTTTTACTGTATACTTACGTATCAACCTATTATAGCCAATGCTGTCATAATTGTATGTTCAGTTTAAGCAATCACTATTGCATCAAAACTGCACAAAAGCAATTCTGGACAGTAATCACAGCAGTAAGATTATTGGCTGGTGATCCCCAGCAATTACAGTACTGTCATTTATTGCAATGCTGCTCATCAACTCAGCTACCATTATGAGCATGTTCTTTGTGAACTGCAAAATAAAAGGGACCAACTTAAAATCACCACAAATGTACTTTAAGCAAACGAGTTCTAATTGACATTTGTGATAAGCCAAGACAGCACAAGGCAAACTAGTCTCAGATGATGAGAAGTGACTTGAGATCACTGTAACTCAGATGACTGTGATTACTCATATCTCGATAGCCTCCAGCATTAATATCCTTTGCATTAGAAGATTTAATATTAGCTTTAATACCACTAAGAAATTATTAGGGTTGCTATTGTCATCTTAAAATACTTTTGAAACTATTAATTGAGGCATGAAAATAAAGACCCAAATTTCTCATTTAAGAATGAAGCTTCTATGGATACAAAATCTGCTGATAGCAAGACAATATAATCCAATTATCACCTTTTAAAAATATTAATATGGGACAACATATAGAACTAATACATCAAGTATATGCACTCAGAGTTAGTATCTTGAATCGAGTACTGATTTATCTTAAAAGAAGTTCTGAAACAGAGACAGCAAAGCAGATTTATTCTGAAAATGAGATGTTACAATTTATGTATTAAGCCAAGAAAGATTATTGTTATTTCTAGTTCTGACAATGAAAGTCAAACCATCACTTCTTTGTGTTTTAAAAAAAAAAAACCAAACAAAAAAACTTTAGTTAGAATGTTTCTAAGACTGCAATTTTTTTCCCCCTTGAATGATCTTTACAAATTAAGGCTGAACTTGATTTCAAACACAATTTTATTTTCCCTACAGAGGCTACCACTAAGATACATGTCCATAAATGTGTTGCAGATTTAAAATATATTATGACCTTGGTATGCATAACTGAAACCAAACTCAAAGCTTAAAACCCATTCTTTAACAAAATACAACTGATGATACCAAATCTTTATGTGTAAGCTTCTGTAACACTGTACACAACTTTGCAGAATGTACAAAAAGGACTGGGTCTCAATGTTGTATCAATTCTACACTAACATTTCTTTTGTCTTTTTTTTAAACAATAAACCTGCATTTCCAGCCTGATTTACAACAGTGCATACATTCCAAGGGATACAGAATACCATAATGATGCTTCTGTTCAATGCCGTTAAATGAACCTTTTATATTCAGGTTCTAACATTCTGATATACAAATTATACTATACTAACGCTAGGCAACACATTTTAGAAGCAAAGATGTTTTTTTTCCAGCAATGCAGTAAAAGAGACAATGGTTAACTCCACAACGCATACCAAATTTCTGAATTGCTGAAAACAAGGCATATACCTGTTCCTTTACAGAAGCTAAAATGGTAGTGGCAGTGGTCTCTGGTTCCATGCCTGGGCCTGTTGAAGTTTCCTGTGTTGTCTGCGGCAGCCCCTCCTCCACCATTGGGGTCTGCTCAGGGGCTGGCATTTTGCCTGCAAAAACAATATTTTAAAATAGTTTACATCTTGAGCCAGTGATGTTTAAAATTCAAGTTTTCAGGATTATAAATTCTCTTGTCTTTTTCTTCTAAAACCTTTCCAAACTTAACCAAATTAGCAGAGAACTTTGTTATTAATATCAACCTATGTTGCTATTACTGTTCTTCACCTTCACAAATTGAAATCAGAATTACATACAGAACGTGAGGGCCGGGCAGAAGCAAGAAAGCAGCATGACATTTAAAGATTACTTTTAAAACACTACTTTGTGGTAGTTACTAAAAGTAGGAAAATCCACGACGTGAAAAATACTGCTGTTAAACATTAACAACACCCAGGATCTGTAAAAGTTTACCACATGTGCAGTTTTTAGCATAGAGGAATGACATGTAGCAGCAGAATGCTTTGCTGTTAGGAACAAACCATGGAAGAGACTAATTATGGTAATAAAAAGTTAATGGGAATAATGCTTCTAATGTTTCTTTTGCAAAAGAGGAATTTAAAACACTAAAGTTAAACCAATTGCCCTGGGCTATGCATAGCGTGGAAAGGACCAACAGGATTAGTGTTCAAGAACCCCAAGGTTCATTATTGCAGAGGCAGCACACTAACAATTCCAATACACGTAAAAAAAAACACAATTCATTTGTTTAACTACAGAAGTCACTATTAATTAATAGTACAGAGACAGTGATGAAGTGTGTTTAGTACTTTGAAAATAGCAAGTAGGAGGTATTCATGTAGCTTTTGCACATATACCATACATTAATTTCCTTCAGAAAAAAGAAAATAAAGCTCATGATGTCTAATGTTAAAAGTAGTCAGTATGTCATTTTAGATTTCCAGAACAAACTCAACATTCCTAGATGAAACAAAGATGAACAGCAGCTTCCTTCCCTTCATTTCAGAAAGAGCAAGGAGCAGCTTACGCTGTGAACACGCTTCAAGGCCGGGAACAGACCCCTGAGACCCCTCAGTCCTGACCTGTTTTATCATGACCATCCCTTCTCTGCCACCAGCCTTTTAAATGCTGAATCAGCATAAAGCTGGGCACACACCACCCTAAAAAGACAGAGGACAATCTACAAGATCAGTGGCTGTGCTGTAAAGCTGCGCGTTTCTGATTTGACCCTCGAGGGATCTCTTCTGGAATCACCCTACGGGGTCGCTCACCCTCTCAACACATTTTCTGCACTGGTGCCTATACACAGAGACCAAGCACAGGCAAAGCACTATGTTGTCAGAGGACTTCTATGCTACTACAGGCAGCCTTGGGCAGAATAGATGAGTGGAAACCAGAAAAGAGATGATGTAAGAGAAAGTGCTTTCTTTCTGCTTTGTGTACAGCGGCATGTGCACTACGAGAGGGATGACTTCTGTTCAGGCTTAGGAGCCGCTTCAAGTGCGTTAGCAGGGCATCTTTATTAACAACACTATTCCAGTCTGCTAAAAGAGCTGGTAACACGGTTAATGTGCAGTTTCACGTCAGCCAGGGAGTGAGTCAAACAACAACTTCAGAGAAACTAAAGCCAGATGAGTGATGAGAGGCAGTGGAGTAGTAGTGGGGTAACATATGGTGCAGGAGCCTGCTCACCCGTCAACTTCTACCACTGCAAATTAAAAAAGAAAAGGTGCTTCCAAAAGCATGTTAGAGCAAAAGCCTGACTTGGGCTCAGTTACCTTCTGGAGAAGGGCCTGTCCTCCCCTCAGCAACTGCACAAGTAACACAGGGAGACTTTCCAGCAACCTGGAAAGAGTCTGTATAAACAGCCCGCTCCCACCTCACGTCCGTATCACATTTATCTTCTGGAACAAGGAAAAAGAAATTCCACAGGTACAGTGCTGCCAGGTTTCTGGTGTCCGGATTGCAGAGGGAAATCTGAGCACGCTAGCTTAGCAACACGAAGACCAACCACCCTCACCTCCCCTCCCAAGAGGGCCGAACCACGAACGTGGCGACGCAAAGACCGTGCCACGCTCCGTCCTTCCCCTAAGCCGAAAAAACTGAAGTCCAGACAGAATACACGTTTCTTCCTCTCCCGCCGCAATCGCGCAAAGCCCTCCCCGCCCCTTCCAGCCTCACCTCGCCCACACCCCGCTCCCTGAGGGAGAGAAGGCCCCGCCACCGCCGTGCCCGCCGCCTCCAGCCCGCCACCGCTCCTCACCGCCGAACACCGGGGCAGGGGGCCGTGCCCCGGCCGCGGGGAAGCGGCCCCC